GGGATGTGGGTGGGGAGAGGGGGAAAAGGGGGCGAGGGGGGGGGGGGGGGGGGTGAGCTGCAAGTCATGAAAGCAGTAGTGGCAATGTGGAGTTGTGGCAACCTCTGTGGATTTAGGCACCTAGTATGTGCAACTCTATTCCATTCTGCATATGTCCCCCAAACACTTGAATGCATCTACTTTTCTAATATCCATTATCTAAACCTTGAGACTGAGTCACAAAAAGACAGTGAGGAGGAGGACGACTCACCCACATCTTGTATTAACAGATTTTCAGGGACTTAAACAGGAATGAACTGAATCGCTGTTAGGTGCCTAAGTCTAATTACATGCCTAATACCTAGAGGGTCTACCCAACTCAAGGAGGCGGCCAGCCAATTTTGAGTGCAGATTGCCGGGCAGGCCACCATTTTTGCAGGCTTATTGAGGTGGCCTGCACCCATTTCTCTGATTGGCCAGAGAAGGCATGGCCCTCCCCCCACCACTGATTGGTGGAGAGGACTGTCCATGATATGGTCCTGGCCCTCGCCGCTGGTTTACTGAGAAGGCTGTCCATCATGTGGCCTCGCCCCTCACTGCTAATTGGTGGAGAGGGGCAGAGCCGTATGACAGGCAGCCCTCTCAGACAATCAGTGGTGAGGGGCAGAGGTAGCAGCAATCTTGCCTGATCACCTTCATGCCAGCAGCCCCCTTCATGCCAGGCTGTATCACTGGGAGCCAGCATTTTATTGTTAGGAAGTTTTTTTTTTTTTTGTCTTTTTTGTTTTTTATTCCCCATGAATTTTGCAGAGATCACCTGATTTTGAGATTTCCATGAAATCCACCAAATTGCTATTTCAGAAAGTTCCTACTAATAGGTAGAACAGAATCTGACTAGTGGTGTCCAAATGATGGATTTTAGTGTCTAAGCTGAAAACTGGGCACTGGATGTATGTTACTGAATCATGGAAAGGGGTATTGGATGCAGGTCCTGGTTTTGGCAGGTACCTAAATCACTGCTCATTTGCCCAAAATGTGGATTAAGGCAGGTAACCTGACCATCAAGCTATGTTAGACCTGTAAATGTATGTCAAGATTCCCCCAAATCTGAAAGTTGGTAAAAACATTTCTAAATCATGGGAGGAAAAGAGAAAGCCAGAACATAATCTGTGCAGAGTAAATCCTAGAATACAACCTATTGCACTCAACGGTGCCTTCATATTTCCTTAGTGAACTCATTCCCTTTACTTGGATGAAAAACTACTTTTTCCTGTACACAAGAGTGCTACTACAAGCCAGAACTTTTAATGTGGCCAGATCCAAAATAAGTGTAGTTATTATGTATTATTTCATTTGTAGCTCTTTCCAACAAGGTTTCCTTCCTGTTTTGGGACCTGTTTTACTGGCTCTGGGGTAATCTAGAATGGGTTTTGTATCTGATTCAGTTTTGGAAGCCAGCCTGATAATGAGCTGGAGATAGTCTGAGGCACTAAATGGATTGATTAGTAGGCTGACTCGCTGCTGTTCCTTTGCATCTCAAGTTATGGAGGAGGATAGTAAAATTATTATCCTGGACTGGTCCAGTGACTTTCCAGGTTTTTGACCTATATATAACTGGCTTATAATAGGGCTTTCTTCTGAGGAAGGAAGGATGATTGCCTTGGGAAAGAAGAAGAAAATAAATCCCTCTGGTACCATATACTGTTGTCTCAAAGGTAGACAGTGGCAGCCACATGTTTAATAAGGAAGCCTCTAATAGCTATAGTCTTTCTTGGCAAGTTTAATTAATGAGGATATGATATTTAGAAAGCAGACTAAAATGAAAGAAAGCAAGAAGTGGAACAAATGGAGAAGGGAATTGATAATTCAACCTTTAAATCACAGGTAAGATTTCTACAACAACAGAAAAGAAAAACTTACCACCACAACGTTTTTCTTCTATGCTGCTGGATCTTGCTACTGATATTTCTAGAAAAACAAAGGAGGCAATTATACCACAGAGAGAAAATATTACAGGCAATTGCCAGATTTGTTAATTGAGGCTGAGATTTTTAATGCATATTCTACTACTCTTCCCAGACTGGATCAGGATGAAAAGATTCTTACTGCATGTTAGAGCTGGATAAAAAAAAACTCCCTCCAAATTCACACACACACACACACACACACACTTTTCATTTTTGCTGCAAATATCTCTGGAAGTAAGAAAATGGCAGATATTGCACAGGAGAATTTTTATATTTTCAGGGAAAAATGTGTTGGAAAAACAGTGGTAAATTTTTGAATGGGGAAAATAAAAGAGAGTTCATGACCATGTTTAGGGTTGGAATTGTGTCCAGGGTTGTAGAAATGGAACTGGAGGTGGAATTAGGGTTGGAATTTAGTACAATGAGGTATGACTCCAGGTAATTCCAGTTCAGATGAGCTTTGTATCTCTTCACTAATGAAGACCATGAACTTCTTGAACCTTAGTTCCAGACTAACAAAATGTTACTTCTAAATCAATCTATAGTACAGAAGAAGAATAGGACAGTTGTGATGCATGGAGCAATGCCAGGCTGATGTGGTGCTGACTGTGGCAGTGCGTCCAGCCACCACTGTGGTGGACCTTATTTTTGTGGTCCTCCATCAAGGTGTTGACTAGGGCTCCTGCTCCAGTCACCAGACCCTCAGTTATGCTACTGAGTCTGGATCTTTGCTGTATTTGAAAAGATTGGAATTGTGATAGCTCTAAGCAAGCAGCTTAAACTACCGATTCCATAACCATTCACAGATGTTTCCCACAACTTTCTTGCTATCACAAAAGTCATGGCTGGTTCCTTAGTAGCTGTCCACAATCTCTAATCAATGAGCTTCCATCTAAAACTCTGTGTGTTCTCCATCTCTTATATATTTTGCAGACCTAGGCTCTGAAGAAGTCAATGGCTAAGCCTCCACTGATGTCAATGGACCTAGATTTTCAAATGTTAGCTCAAGGATGTCCAGGCATCATACAAAATGAAGACAGGCTGCTAAGAAAAGATGGACCATCATGCTGATATTTTGAAAGTTACTTCAGAAAAAGTTGGGTTACCTCAGAAAACAGAGGAAACAGCTTGACAGTATCAAAAGAAAGAAGCAACAAAGAGGAAAAAGCAAGTGGTGAGAAAAGAAGCAAACACAATTGTGGTAGTAGGGTATGGCTGCAGCTGAGGAAAGGCTTGGAGAGATCAGTCAGGAAGTGTCTAGAATTTCAATGAGATGAGAACAGGAACAGAAAAGAGGCCTGAGGACATGGGGGAAAGGAAAGGCTGGACAAGGGGAAGTCGAGATTAACAGACAGAAGATGAATAAAATAGAGGACAGAACATTAGGCAAAGGAAAAAGGAAGACCTCAACAGCTTTGGCACAGGTCTTGAGAAATTCAGAAGCTAAGGCAATCCAAACAACCTGTTGAATACTCTGAGGCTTGGTGTTACTATTTAGACAATTATAATGGGGAACAGTTGCAAAACAGTCCTCTAATGTTGCTCACTAAACAATCAGTGCCACTCCACACTTTCCTTTAAATGCTGATCTCTATACTGATGGTTGGCCCTGGTGGGGCAACTTATTCTACTGTGTGGGAGCAGGAGATTGACATCTCAAGTCAGTCATGGAAAGCTTCAATTAACATGCATATTAGCAGTAGAGTAGCTAAGGAGGGGTGACTAGGGCCCCAGGCACTGAGTTAGTGGGACACAAAAACACCGGCTGCTGCACTAACAACCTGGCTGCCACTGCCACTGGCAGCCTAGTCACTGAGACTGCCCTATGTGCCACTTCTGACAAAGTGGCCAGGTATGCCTCTGAATATTAAAAGGCTTTTAAAAGACCAGTTGAAGAGACCATTCTCTCCCAGAAAGAATGCAGAAGACTTGATATTTTTTTTATAAGGAGAGTTAAAAGTCTGCACTCTTTGGGACAGATTTTGTCCCGCCAGGCGGGCATCTAAGGCATGTAAGTGCAATTCTATTCCACCCTGCTATACTCCCTGGAAATCCACAAATGCATCTATTTTTACAACCCACCACCACCTGAGCCTTAAGACCAAGTCACAGAAAAGCAGTGAGGAGGAAGACCAACCTACATTTTGCATTAACTGTTTTTTCTCAGAGTTTAGCAGGGTGAAATAGGATTGTACTAAAATGCCTAAATCCACTTGTACACCTAAGAGATGGAATAGAACCTGGCCCTTACGTGCCTAAGAAGCAGATTCAAATCTGACCTCTTGTGTTTAGAGACTAAATGAAGCAGATGCAAGTATAGTTTTGACAGGTATTTGGGGTGGTGGTAAGGACTTCTCAGAAACATCAAGGAAAGGCTGGTAGTGGAGAAAAAGAGAATAATGGATACACTAATGACCTGGCTTTCAAATTAAGTCTGCGCTCCAGACTGGTTTTATGCTGAAGTATATATTGTGTTACTAGATGTGAAACAAAGATTAGTCACTTTTGCAAATTCAACAGGCCTCAAACCATTTTATTAAATTGAACCATACTTTTTCATCTTCATTCAGTTGTGAAATCAACCCTGGCAGATTTCAAAAGGAAAAATTACCAGTCCAGACAAAAATATTATTATTATTGTTTGTTAGGTGCTGAGAGTGCAGTCTGTCTGGACAAGACACTGGTAATCCCTGCCCCAAGCAGTTAATCATCCAGAAGAAAAGCAGCCAAAATTGCATTGGGAAACTCAGAGGATGGAGATGATGTAATGTTGAGGTGGGTCATTATATGGGGTCTGAATGATGAGACGAGGTTATGCCAGGCATAGGAAATTGTGCTGAAGAACTGCTGAGAAAAGGAGAGAGGAAAAGGAGATGAAGGGAGAGGAAAACAACTGGCATAAAGGTGAGGTGGATTACAATTAGAGAACAGGGCAGATATGAGGTGAAGGGGAATACTGAATGAAAGGGAAGGGGTATCATACACTTGACTTGATAGATGAGGGGCAGTGAGCTGCAAGGTTAACAAAAAACAGTCCAATCCAGTCCAGGAAGATGACAAGGTCTGAAGGGGAATAGGATGGGGATCAGAAAGCTGTTTTAGGAAGAAGTTTCAGCAACATAATAAAACAACTTATTAACTGAGCATTCCTCATTTCAATCATTTTAAAGTGCTTTTCACAAGGCCACATGTATTTTAAATATGATCAACTGAGCACTCATAGGATCTGAATGTTGCTACATTGTTTGAAACTCTTGGCAAGATGAAAAAAAACATGTTAGATGGAAGTGCTCCTTCTCATGCTGATTTTTCATTTGTTTTGGATGAAAAACAAAACTGTTATTGGATTCAAATTTATTCCTACTCACTGCACACCAGTTATAAAAACAAACATTGTTTAAACATGTCAGTCTCATCACAGAGCTGTACTGCATTTATTTTAAGTCGCAAGGAAAAGAGTTGCTTACTGAGCAAACATAATTAAATTTGAAATGACAAAGGAATATGACATTTCTTTTTTTCTGTGAATAGACTACTGCCTTTTTATGTATACAGAGACAAAGAATATTGCTAATAGCAATGTGATGTGGCCATCCGTGTTGTTTTGTGGATTAAAAGACAGCAGTGATAAAAAAAAAAACAGTGCAGCAGTGACTGTCCATAGATGTTAAAGAATAATATGTGACCTGATTGTCTTGTCAGGTATTTAATGATCATATGGGAGATAAGGACCTGCGGCAAAGCCAAAGGTATTTAATGTTCTAAGACGTTATTATTCAAAGAGCAGGGGACTGTATGAAATGATTTCCATATACACTACTATTGTACCCATATTTTATACACTCGAGTCAAGCAAACAGAGAAGCATGTGTTCTCATATCCTCCAAGTTCTGAAATAATCAAACACCAAACCAGTTCTCTTAGGTAGCTAATGTAGTCAAAAATGCAGACATTAAATTAAACAGAATGAAAAGGGTACACAAAATGTTGTCGTACCAAGTAGCAAAATTTCTAGCCGGCGGAAATCAGCATGACTCCATGAAGGTCAACAGAGTTTTTCAGATTTGAACCAGTAGAGAATTGTGCACAGCTAAGAAGTTTCCAAAACACATGCAGGGGAGACCTACTGGGGGTGGGGAATGGCAAAATTCCAGCTTCATGACAATTTGTCAAGGCTTGGTTAGAGGGGCAATGTCTGGTTACATTACACAATGCCCACAAAGCTGGCAGGAACAAAAGGGAGAGACGTGAAGGTCTTAGAGGCCTGTGTGAAGTGTCTCATTTGTTACAAGGGATCTGGGTTTTCCATTTGCTGTGGATATAAAGCGGATTTTCTCTTGAGTGGGGCACATGCTCCACTCTGGACATAGCAGCTGTTGGGTCACAGCCCTGGAAGCTGGATTTTCTCCTTTTAAGGAGAAAAGCACAGGAAATCACAGGTTTCCCCTTGCAGGCTGGTCTAGTTCCAGCCTGCAAGGGGCTGCTTGAGGCTGGGAGGAGTGGGATGCAGGGGGCGCACACATGCACATGGCCAGCAATGCAGGTAGACAGCAGTGGAGAGCAGTTCCCCTAGTTGCCTATAGGCAAGGTGGGGGGTTGGGGGGCATAGGTGATGCATTGGGGGCAGATTGAGCCAGCCATGGTGAGGGAGGCAATGGGGCAGTGTTGGTGGCTGGAGCTGGGGCTGCTGTCCAGCTAGGGTGGGAATGCACAGCTGCGGGGCCAGGCTAGGGGAGTGGAAGAGAGCCATGGGAGGCTTGTCTGGGGGATGCCAGGGGGGCTCACTCCCCACCCAGCAGCTCCCCCAGATTTGTGCGTGCAGCTCCCTGCCCTGCAACCCTCCTACTGGGGGCTTTCATAGACCAGGTGGGACCCAGCATGGGAGGGCAGAGTGGAGTGGCTCAGTGCCACGGCCCCCACGATCCCCACACTAGCTGCACCACCACGGCGAAGTGTCCCTTGGCCACCTGGCAGTAGCAGGGGCAATGGTAGCATGGAGTTGTGCCCCCTGAGGCTGCTGGATGGGCAGGGGGCACCTTGCCATGGTGGCAGGGCTGGTGCAGGGGTCCCAGCAGCAGTAGCAGTGGCACCAAGCCTCCCTGCCCCACTCCACTCTCCCATGCTGGGTCCTGCTCACTGGGCCACAGAGGCCCCTGGAGCCAGATAGCAGGGCAGGGAGCCCTAAGCCCTCAGCAGGCAGCCCACATCCACCCCTGCCCACCACGGGCTCTGCTCAGCTCTGCTCTGGCTGTGCCACCTTGGGGAAAGGCTCCACACTCCACTCTGGCTGCAGCTGTTGGGCCACGCAGCCCTGGCAGCTGGGGTCCCCCCCCCGGCAGGGCGTGGGGGGGGGACCTGGGGGCTGTGGGTCAGGGGTGAGGTATGCCAGCAGGGCTGGGGAATTGGGGGGATGCGGGTTGGGAGTGAGGGGCATCAGAAGGGATGGGAGGGCTGCAGTTTGGGAGTGAGGGGCAATGGCAGGGCACCAACATATATATTAAGGCTGCTCAGCACCACAAAGCAGCTGTGGGGCAGTGGCAGCTGGACCCACATCCTGGTGAACAAATGGGGTAGGTGGAGCTCTGATTTTCTATGATTAAAAAAACCCCACAAAATCAAACAGCAATATATATATAGGTATTTAGAATTTAATATAATGACTGAGACAGTGGTAAGCTTCCAAATTTCTTTAAAATTGTAAATCTATCAATAAAAACATTGTGTTCAACTGATACCTATACATATAGTGGTGTTTCATCTTAATTGCAGGAAAGACATGGATTTTGGGGGTTTTAATCAGAGAATCTGGGATTTTTAAACAGAGAAAACCAGGATCCCTGATGGCACCCATTCTCCATTGCTTGGCTATGAGCTGATGAAATGTAAGCAGAGTGAATGAGTGGAAACCTCACTACTCATTCTGAAGCAGCAATAAATTAAAGTTTAGGAGGTTATAGAAGTTTGTATAACAATAGTTCAGCCAATTTCCTTAAAGGAAAGGTCTACAGAATAACTTTTTGAAGCCTCAGAGAGACCTAGGACTCAGAATTTGGAAGTTGTACAGAAGCCTTAAATCCACCTTTGTTCCCATGTATTTAAGAACTTGTCCTGTTTGAGTGTGGCCAATAGGTACTTTGACATGAATTGGAATGAGATCGGAGGCAGGTCTCTATTGAGGAAGAGAAAATCAGGGCAGGGTAGGTCCTATGAGGAAAGGTTGCGGGACCTGAACCTGTTCAGCCTTCAAAAGAGAAGGCTGAGGGGGGATCTTGTGGCCTGTTATAAACTGGTTAGGGGGGATCAGCAGGCGCTGGGGGAGTCCCTGTTCCCCCGAGTGCCGCAAGGAGTGACCAGGAACAACGGTCACAAGCTGGCGGAGGGAAGGTTTAAGTTGGACATCAGGAGGCGCTACTTCACGGTCAGGGCGGCTAGGGTCTGGAACCAGCTTCCAAGTGAGGTGGTGCAGGCTCCCACCCTGGGGGTTTTTAAGAGGAGGTTGGATGACCACCTTACTGGGGTCGTTTGACCCCAGTGCTCTTCCTGCCATGGCAGGGGGTCGGACTAGATGATCTGCTCAGGTCCCTTCCGACCCTAGAAACTATGAAACTATGAAAAACGCTGCATTTGCACCACCTAAGGATTATGTTTCTATTTAATGCAATCATATAAGACATACAGAATCTTCTTTAATGTCTACAGAACTCTACTGGTTTCATCTTTATTAAGAACTTTAAGACTTTTCCATGAGGGTTTTAGCAGGCCAGGATGTCAAATCAATGTAAAGCCACTTCCCATGAATATGACCTCTTTTCTTATTATTGCTGTAGTAGCACTGCCAAAAAGATGTGAACCAACTGGCATAAGATCTGCAGTGACTGCATTTACTGAATATATGAGAAATTCAGCAGCCTCCAAATGGACTCAGATATCCCAGAAAGTTTTCCGGAGTTAGATGCATGTGGCATTATTATTAATTATTATCTGTTAAGTGCTGGATGGGATGTAGGCTAGGTCTGTTTCTTGGAGGATGTGGGCCACTGTAATCCATCTTTCTAAAGACAGATGATGTCTGTGAGGAGCCCTGGGTGGGAAGAGAACTTTTCAGACCTGTGAACAGTTGCCAATACAGGGGAGCAGTATAAAAGCAAGAGGCTGTGTCTGCCTGGACATTGAGCAGCTGGTCATGCTTACTGTGCATAGAGGACTGCAGTATTCTTGTAAAGTGGTAACCACTATAAAAGGGACATGATGGCAAACCCACAAATGTAGAGTATGAGGCAGCCGGTTGTGGTGAAGTTTGCAGGCGTGAATAAGACCGCGTGGCTCCCAAGTGGTGAAGGAGTGCCTGTGAAGCGGTGGGAAACAAACTGTACAGCTGCCTTCCCCATCTACATGTTTGTCCCAGGCAGTTTCCATCATTTCTGGGATTTAGCTCCCTCTGCTCTCTGAAGCAGAGGGGAACGCTAGGGCTCATGTCTGAAATTCTGGGAGCCCATCTACTCAGTCTTTACGAAGGACTTTTGTCTTACCTGGTATGAAGTTGGAATCAAAAATGCAAGCTCGACTCTCAGTGGCATTCCCAGAACACTGGTTGCCCACAGGAAATAAAATAATGCACTGACGAACACGGAACTGGACTCCAGATGAGTCACAATCAGACCACTCAGACCAGTCGGACCAGCTGTCTGCAGCAGTTAAAAAGGGAGGGAAACAATAAATATCAGGGTTAGATCTGTGTGAAACCAGAGCAAAGAATTACTCTCTAAATCAGGACATTCTGGAGGAGGCAAGTGAACCACTTTAGTGATACCATGCCATTTTAGTTCAGATGAAGATCTGAGCCATATGTGGCAGATGCCACAAAAATGCATTATCTTCCTTTTGAAATTTAGAGGCTAGCAGTGTAAATGTGCAGTGGGTTGGTGTATTTGTCATGGGAGTACTATTATTTTGATTTCTTTGCGTCTGAGTGTATATCCTGATGGATATTACTGGTCCCTCCATTGAGCTCGAGAGAAAGTGTGGCTACCTAACAGGAAGCTTACCACAACTCTGCAAGGCAATGACAATTTGCTAATTTGCATATGTGACTAGTAGGAGTGGAGAGTTGTAGAAATACAGATCCTGTGTCTGATGTGGAGTATTTTTTAAATACAAAGTAGCAGTCTCTTACAGACACCATCTTTTTATTCTGTCTTCGTTCTTCCCTCCTGAAATCATAAAGCATTTTCTTATATCTCAGATCTTATCTCCAGGTTGTTTCTCTTTATCAGGTTTGGTTCATTACCAACCTCTGTTGCTTCTTTCACTTTGTTCCACTGCTTATATAATTTTATTGAAGGGATTTTTATTCTCACACCATGCCATCTCTGTGTGATCTCAGAATATCACTCTTAAATTAAGTGCAGTTATCTGATCTATATGAGATGCCGTGAATCTACTCAGCTCACATCTTTCTTACAAGACAAGTGTGAGCCCTGCCTTCACTGATTTTTTCGAGGCTTCATCTATGGTAGTAGACAGAGCTCTGTAAAACTCATTTGTTTCATTTTCTTCAGAGATACTCTTCCTGGGTTTACACCTGAATTGTGCTTTGTGCATCTGGTTTGACTTAATTGACCCCACACTCACATTTCGCTATTGAGTGTCAAATAGTTTTGTGTCAAAACCAAGACAACCCACAAATTTCATGTCTTGCAAAACAAAATTATAAATCAGTTCAAGTCTTCTAGAAATTGGATCCAAGTACATTTACAATAAATTCTGTTTATTGCAAAAATAAATATTTTGCAAGTGTTGTGAAAGTTTTATTATGAGTGATTTTAGATATATATCAAATAATATATGAGAAGAATCTGAAACCAGGTAATCTCACATAGCTTTAGTTTTTATGGTGCATACTTTGCATATCTCTAACATGTGCTGCTTATATTTACCAACTGCTGTTCCACAGTCTAAAACAAACAGATCCTCAATCCTGTAAAACCAACAGATTTCTAACAATATATATATTTTAGACTATATGTTTATAAACCTTGTAGTAGTAAAAAGGCATGCTCTGCATGGCAATATAAACATGTACTCCTGAGCCTTAAGGATCTGGCTGTATTAAAGCAACTAACTTTCAGGGAGCAAAATGAGAATGGCAGTCCGAGATGCTCCACAGACCCCCAGAACCAGAACTACATTCCTCCATTTCTACTTAGAGCATGGATTGGCAAAATATGACCTGTCCTGCCAACTGATTTTATCCAGCCTGTAGGTTACTGGCTGCAAAGTCATAAGACCCGGCCCATAGAGAGCAGGCCTCTCAAGCAGCTGCACTGTGAGAGATGGGCAGGCACGTCCCATCTCCATCCACAGCTTACGCCAGCTACCACCCCACCGGTGTGCACCAGCTTTACTGTGGATGCTGTCTGTAAGTTCCCACTAGGGATTGGGACAACTGCCTGGGACTGCAGCTGATGCAGCAGTGTCACTTGCAAATATGGGTGGAGGTCCTGATCCCCGTGCTGAGGATTGGGGCATCTGCCCAAGTCCCTCCTCGGGGTAGAAGGGTAGGCTGGAAGCTGAACCTGCTGAAGCTGCCCACACCAGCTTCCTCCCTGCCGCCCCCCAGCTAGGGGGGTTTGGTGAGCTGTTGCGGAGGGGCGTTCTGACCCAGCCCACAACAACTCCCCAAAACTCCCTATGTGGCCCGTAGGCCCAAATAATTGCCAAAGCCTTAGAGTCATTGCAGCCACCATAGTTTGATGCTATGGATAGACTTATTAGTTCTGGTGAGAGAAGAATATTAACACATGAGTGTTTCATTCTCTGATGTTTTAAGCCTTTGAAAAGACATTCACATAGAAAATAAATGCTTTTTGTTTGGGAAAATGGTGCTGGGTTAACATTCAGGTCAAAATCATCTAAGGAACGTAAGTTATAAATGCCTGAAAATTGGCATTTCTAATGTAAATGCTGACAGACCCTTAACAATAACAGCACTACAGGAGAAAGTACTATAATACTGGAAACCACACAATGAACATGACAGTTCTGACCTTTCAAGAAATGCCTTAAGGATCTGAGGCTGCTGTGCTAATTTTTATGTACAAATATACTTCAACCCACTTGAGGAATCACATCGTCAACTCAGTTCTCTTTCCCTTTTTAAAAAAAGCCAAAGTGGGGAGATAAGTTCACTGTGATTTTGACAAAGTAAGTGCTATTCTATTTGGCTGTGAGACACACTGTTCTCAGAAAAGGAAATTAACTGTAATTGCAGTTTGGTATGGGTAATACCATGTGTAAATTCATACACTTGGGCCTTGTGGCTTCATATGAGATGTAAGCATGTGCGATAAAATATAACAGCCCCTCAGTGAAGCAGCTAATGCAATGGAACATCACACTTGCTAGCAGACATTTATTTCTCTGATGATCAGGAACAGACACTAGTGAATGTAAGCAATAAACCAGTAAGAAAGACAGACAGAAAAACAGAAAGAAAAAAACTTCTCTCAGTTGTTTATCTACCCTGACATTTATATGTTATTTCAAGGAGTGCAGTGGCAGGTTGGTTATGGCCTGTGACAGCAGCTCCAGAGGTGAGTTCAAGCCTTGGTTTCGCCACTTGTGCTGCAGCCTATTTATGACTGACCCAGTGGAAAAGGATGCCTACTCAGTCAGGGGAGTCAGCACTAGGCAGATGTGAATACTAGCTACAGCATTCCCTTTTCTTCTATTAGCTATAAAAGCTAGCACACTTCTAGCTTCAAAGACCACAACTTAACATTTTTTACTTTCTGTTTCTGTTCTTTTTTTCATTTGCATTTTTATCATTTACATTTATAGTTTTCCTTGTTTTTCAAATATCTAGGTTAACTTGGTAACGCTCAAGGGGTAATCAGAATTAAAGTAAATGCCATGATCTAATAGCTCCTGTTGCTGAATGCAATAGTGTACAGGGGCTTCATTACACTAATGTTGTACAAATACATAAAAAAGATGCAGGCTCTGTCCTCCGGTTCCTGCAATCTAGGAAAGCATTTTACAACAGATAGCATTCCTGTAATCAGACAAGGAGGCTGCAGTGCGCTTTGTCCCCTTCTTGCAAAACTCCCTATGGGGTGGTCGGCAGGCAGGGAGCAGTGTTCAGGAGTGGAAGAGATTGGGATTACACGTCCCTGCTCTCTGGAGTGTGGGGGCAGAGGCATGTGCTGGTGTGTGTGTGTGTGTGTGTGTTTTGTTTTTCAGGAAGATCAAGTGCCAGGTCCTTAAGTGGTAGATATAGGAAACTTCAATGAAGTCTTGTGTTACAATGACTTCTACCTGAGGAGTATGTTGCCTAAGAAAGTTTATTGGCCATGCCTATAATTGTATAATGACTGGGGTGTTCTACTGGGGTGCTGTAATTAAGTGTCTTTCAAGACACTGACCTAATAACTAAATTAATAGTCCCAAAGTAACATGTTGAGATTTTTTTTTTTAGAGACTGATCTATGGGCCAAACCCACAGATTTATATGCACATTCACAGGAAATTCACTGGGAGCCAATGGTACACATACCAAAGGACAGAAATAATTTTCCCATCAATGTTTAGCATGTTGATAAAATGGTAATGTACTGGACTGAACAGACTGGATTATATCAGGCCTATTGTGTGGCATAGTGAAAGCAAAGAGTCATTGAATGGATTTGCCATACCTGGGCAGGTTTGCGTGTTGCAAAGTGCTTCTTCAGTGTGGAGTCCAAGGCAGATATCCCCTCCATAGGCTGGGGCTGGGTTTGTGCACGAACGGGTTCGCATATAATGTCCACCTCCACAAGTTGCAGAGCACTTTGACCATGATGACCAACAAGACCAACCTCCATCAACTGAAAAGAAAGTATAAAATTCCTGTATGGGTGAACAACTTAAAGAAACCTGTCCTGTTCACGCTTTGTGAGTCGGTTCCATAGCACATTGGAGTTTTTTAGGCAACATTTGGCAAAGGACATGCATGGCATCCAGCTATGAGAGTAACTTTACAGCTTTTAAATCCCAGAATAGATTGTACTGTCTAATGAAGCCAGGATTATAAAACCAAAGTATTATAGTTAACCAAGGAGAAAAGTTTCCTCTGTCTTTTTTTTTCTTTGGAAGTGGAGAAAAATATGAAAGACTGAAAAGCAGAAGTATAGAAAGCCTAAAAGAAGAGTAAACACACAGCTGTAAAAGAAAATCCTAGGCTGATATTAGGGAGAGAAGGGTTGAGGAGCCTGGTTTTTGTTTCAAAGCCAAATCAGGGTTGATTTGGATCTGAATCCCATTTTACCCAAACCACTAGAGTTGGAAAAGATAAAGATAAAAAGATCCAATTTTAGCTCATCTTGAGTTTCAACAGAAATATGCTGGTAGTTACCATTAGGATATTTGGTTTTAGGTTTTAAATCGGAGTTGGTCAGAAAAAAATCCCACAATTTATTAAAATGTTCTGATTCACTGAAATCTAAATGTTCCATGGAGAGCTCCTCCAGAGCACAGACTGGTTTTCAATGGGGCCATGCATGCCAGGCCGCTCCGGATGCAGGTGTTTCATAGATGCCTGCCTCATCTGCAAACTCACCTGCCTGTCTCCGTTGCAGCTTGGGTTCATGGGCCTACCATCCTGGGTGCTCCAGCATTCAAGGCCTTGATACCGCTCACCAGATGGACTGTCCCAGGTTTGGGAACACCCATCTTGGAGCAGTTTCAGTATAATTAAACCAATACTTAAAGGCTGAACCTATGAAGAATATAGCAATTTTGCCAATAAAGATTTGTATAACTCAGTTACTTTGCTTTTAGAACCAACTTGGCTTAGAAACTGCTTACCAAATTATTAGTCTTCAGTCATACAGGAGGTGAACATTCACCATGTACAAGTAATTAAACACACTACAGTATTCCCAAGTTTTCCCACTCTAAGTATAGTGAAGACTACAGACTATATGCTGTTGTACATAATTTCTCTTAATGGTTCACTCATGTTAATACATTCCTTAATCCATTGTTCAGTGATATAACTGATTATCATTTGAAATCTCTGGACTATTTATATAGTTTTCTATAATTACTCTTTTTGAGCCTTTCTCTTCCATGACATTAAAGAGCATTTCAAGGGTATAAAATCATTTCCACAAGTTTCCTGAAATGCTAGAATATAATAATCTGCAATGATAATAGGAGCTTCTGAATTTGAAAAAAATATATACTTTTTAAGTTCTGTACTACAATGCACTTGTCCAAGAAATAACAGTCCTTCAATCTTCTGCCAGATAAAGGCATTGTAGCATTTTGAAAAAGAATACCATGGACAGGTCATTTTGCTTAGATTGCATATTACATATTATATGCATCCAGCAAGTTAAACCAAATGACTTACCTGAAAACACTTAATAGCTAGGAAATGAGCCCAGAAGATCTTACGATTTGGATATCAATATCTACATGTGCAGCTATGAATGCAATCTTAGGACCTTGCTGCACATTATACTCAGGACATGTTAACTGCACCTAAAATGTGAGCCTCCACAAGTTCAAGCAGTAAAACATGTGGTATGATCATATCATAGCTAAGTTAGGACTTTTCATGCAAGAAGTATCTCCACATTGTGTTAGGTAGCATGTGTTCTTCTATCCTCCAACTGCTCCACGTAGACAATGAAAGCGATCTGCGGTCCAGGGGCTGGGCCCCACAATTAGCTGAGGACTAGGCCTGTGTGAAGTGGCTAGTACTCGCATCAGTGTCCCGAATCAATTCGGGCAAATCTGATCCGGGGATTCGGCTGCTGCCAAATCAGCTGAATCTCTGAGTCACACAGGCCACATCCCCTGCTCACCCCAGCTCCCAGCAATTTGAAAAAAAAAAAAGACCCCAGTCACCGGATGCTGCTGGGCTGGGGGTGATCACTGCTGCCCACCAGTGCCCCATGCCACGTGGAAGGCTCTGCCACGAGTCCCCCGAACTCCCCCCCCACC